CGCCGCTCACCTCTACCCCTCTGCCTCCAGTACTTCATCACCAGGAACTACTCCACCCTCATCGCCTTCGCCGTCGGCGGCCAGTTCCAGCCCGGCAATGGGTTCAGCCTGATAGGAGCCCACACCGACAGCCCCTGCCTCAGGGTAAGGTCGCCCGGTTGGGTGCTGAGTTCTTTTCTGGGGTCCTCCGGTTTCAAGCCACAAGCAAAAACTATCCTGACTACCCCTGTGCCCTGCAGCATCATTGTCGGCTCCCTACATCTCCCAAATCTGTCACCCAGAGCAGCCCCTGCATTGCTCTGCCTGGTGCTGTCTCCTCTGTGTCCCCTGTCCTGCAAAGCCCCTCACCGCACCCTGTGCTGGCAGCATCAGCGATGAGGCTCTGGGCACGTGCTGCCCACTTCCCACCAGCTGCTCCGTGGTGCCAGCAGTGACACCTCTGCTGTTGCCCAGGTGAAGCGTCGCTCTAAGCGGGGACAGGTGGGCATAGTGCAAGTTGGTGTGGAGACCTATGGAGGGGGCATCTGGAACACCTGGTTTGACCGTGACCTCACCGTGGCCGGGAGGGTGATCATAAAGGTGAGTCTGAATTTTGGCACACACGGTCGCATAGCTGTGTGTCTGGTACTGGGTCGCTGACCCCCACACGCAGTGGGACCTGCTGCAACCTCTCAGCTCGGCAGGCCTGGCCGCAGAAGTCCTCCTTGTGTTTCAGGACCAAGCCACGGGGCGCCTGGAGCAGCGTTTGGTACGTGTGGAGCGGCCCATCCTCCGCATTCCTCACCTGGCCATCCATCTGCAGCGCAGCATCAATGAGGGCTTCGGGCCCAACACTGAGCACCACCTGTAAGGCCGGGCTCAGCCCCAACCCCTGGCCACCCCTCGGGAGGGCTGGGACCCAGCTAGAGCGAAGCCCCGCCTTAGCTCTCCCTTTGGCAGCCGCTTCTTGCAGTGGGGAGATCTGCAGTGGCTCTTAGCCCCATGGAGTCCTTCCAGGAGATGCTTCCAAGCATAGGATTTGGGAAAGGACACTGGGGTGTCCTGAGGTGGCACAATAGATTTGTATTTAAAATATGCATTCTTGCTCCGTTTGGCATAGCAATCACTCCCTGGAGGAGCAAGGCAAACAGCCCAGGAAGGGTTGGAGATGTGTGACCCAAGCAAGTGAGGTGAGCAAAGCTCTGGGAGCTAATGTTGCTGACCCCCACAGGGTTCCCATTCTGGCCACTGCAGTACAGGAGGAGCTGGAAAAGGAGGTGCTCATGGAGTCTACACCTTGCAGTGCTGCAGCCCAGGTGAGCTGTATGCCAAGGATCAGCAGGGATGCTTGCAAGTACCTCATACTTGTCACCTTTGAGTCCTGAGGGACCTGCTACCAGGTTCCCCTTCTCCTTGTGTACTGCTGGTAACCTTTCACACTGCCTCACAGTTGTGTACACAGCACATCTGCTCATCCATCTCTCTCTTCTCACCCTTGCCTGCAGCCAGTGTGGAAGGGGTGCATCTCCTTGGGGAGGCAGGGCAGGGAGGGGGCTAGCACAGGGGCATAGGGCTGTTATGTTATGCTACATGTTAGTAGGAGAGAGCACTGTGCCAACATAAGCAGGGTCAGAGACAGCTTTGCAAAGGGAAACTGGGAGTTTCTCCTGTCATCTACTGCCTGTCCTGCCCACGGCTCTGCTTTCTTCCCAGGCAGAGCGGCATAGCCCTGTTCTTCTTTCCCTGATCTGCCCCCAGCTGGGGGTGAAACCAGAGCAGATTGTGGAGCTGGAACTATGCCTGGCAGATACACAGCCAGCGGTGAGTAAGGGCAGGAGCATCCCTCTGTCTGCATGCAGCCTATGGGCTGGCACTGCACAGGTGCTACCTGGCACACGTCCTCTGCCTGGTGTGTGCCAGGGCTGGGAGCTGAATGGAATGAGAGGGAGCTGCTCCTGAGGGGCAGACATAAGGCTACGGAATGGAGAATCAGTGGCAGGGACTCTTTGGTGACCCAAAGCCTGTGCCCTACTCCTCTTGGCTCTCTGCAGACAGTGGGTGGTGCCTTCGATGAGTTCATCTTCTCCCCCCGTCTGGACAACCTGCACAGCTGCTACTGCGCCTTGCAGGTGAGAGGGGAAACAACCTGGAGGCTGTAGAATGACCCCCACCCAGCCCAGCTCAGCTTTGGGCTGGCCAAAGGCTCTGCAGGGAGTTGTGTTCTTGTGGAATGGGTCTAGATTGTTGGAGGACCTGGGGTTGGATGCCCCCTTTGCTGGGCATGTGGGGTTCCCAGCAGCTTTCAGGGGTGACTCCTGCTGTTGCTGGGCAATGTGTGTGGCCACAGCTCCCTTCCTCCGTGCTTTGGTCTCTCCTGGGGGATTTCCCAATGGCTCAGTCCTGAGATTCCCAGGATGGAGTGGCACTCAGGCTGGTGTCCATTCCCCCCTAACCCTGCAGGCCTTGATTGACTCATGTGCAGCACCCTCATCCCTCTCCCAGGAGCCCAATGTGCGTCTCATCGCGCTCTATGACAATGAGGAGGTGAGCAAGGGGCACAGCTGTGGGGTGGCTGGCATCAGAAGGGACTCGGTGTTCTCTGCTCTTCCCCAGCCATGCCTAGCAGGAGAGAGATCTCACACCCCAGTGGAGGAGGCAGGCATTTGCTTACACCCATATGGAGCATGGCCCAGGCAGGGTGGGAAACACTGGTGTGGTAGGAAGCTGCTTTGCTGGCTTTAGGGAGCACCCTGTCACCCATCTGGCCCATGGTGCTGCAGGATTGTGCTGATGGTGATCCTTGGCAGGTAGGGTCAGAGAGTGCACAGGGCGCAGAGTCCTTGCTCACAGAGCTGGTGCTGCGCCGGATCTCGGCATCGCCACACAACCTGACAGCCTTCGAGGAGGCAGTGGCCAAGTCCTACATGATCAGTGCTGATATGGCCCACGCTGTGCACCCCAATTACGTGTGAGTAGTCTGAGCCACGGCACAGGTGAGAGCAGCCTGCCCTGCCACCTGTGGGACATATCCCCATCACTCCCCAGGTAGTAGACACAGGACAGTCCTTGTTGCTGCAGGGAGGGAAGGCTATAGTGGGAAACTCTTGCTTCTCTTTTGCAGCGACAAGCATGAGGAGAATCATCGTCCAGCCTTCCACAAGGTGAGGGCAGCCCTCTGCTTTGGTCTAGGATGGTTGCTGTCTGTCTGTCCTGCAGCGCTGTGGATTGCCCAGCTGCCCCCAGGGTACAACTCGGGTATTCAAATGGGAAACCTTTATCCTGCAATGGGATTTAACTATGCCACACGTCTGATGTTAATCACTTGGGATCCCAGTCTTGTCTGTGGAGCTTCTCCCTGCTCTGAGCTGGGGCTGTCCCCATGGAAACAGTCTCCCCATCCCAATGGGCTCACCCAGGAAAGGGAGAATGGACTGATACGTTGGGGTGGAATGGCATTGCCTGGGCATGGGTGTTTCCTATTCCTGGGTCCCATCATGGGCCCGTGGTGCCTTCTTTTGTGCAGGGCCCTGTCATCAAAGTGAACAGCAACCAGCGCTACGCCTCTACAGCTGTCACTGAAGCCGTAATCCGGGACATTGCCGCCCGCGTGGGTGTCCCTCTGCAGGTGAGCAGGGCTGGGTGAGCCCTCCTTGAACATCAGGAGTTTGGGCTGCAGCCCTGCCCCTGGGTTCATCAGAGGGGCCCTGTGCCAAAGCTCCACCCCTGCTACCACGTCTGACCCCACTGGGGTCTTGGTGCTGCCTGTTGCTCTGGGGCTCCAGCTCCAAGACTGCCTCAGGGAGCAGGCTGGTGAACAGGATGGGAGCCTGGCCTGAGCATGTCCTATCTCTGGAGCATTTTTTGAACCCTGGCATGGGTTGGTGCTGCTTCCCTGTCCCATGTCACCTCCCTTAAGGGCTGAGGGCCCTTGTGGGAGCCATGGGGCAGCACATAGAACTGCTGAGGTCTTGCCTCCATGCAGGAGTTCATGGTGCGCAACGACACACCCTGTGGCACCACCATTGGCCCCATTCTGGCCTCCCGCTTGGGGCTGCCTGTGCTGGACATTGGCTGCCCGCAGTTGGCCATGCATTCCATCCGGGAGATGTGCTGCACTTCAGGAGTGCTTCAGAGTATCACCCTCTTCAAGGTGAGCCCTGTGTCCCCCAGCTTGTGCTAAAGCCTGCTCCCTGCTGCTCTACAACCCCCACATCCCCGTGTCCCCATCCGATCCCTGCTTTGGGGCTGAGCCCAGCCATCCCACAGAACTCCCCAACTCTCTAGAGCAGCTCGGGTACTGGCTGCTTCCGGAGGTGCCCCCTCTCATCCCAGCCTTCCCCAGTGACTGCCATCCCTAAGTAGTTCCTATGGCAACCGGTGCTAGCCTTGAGTCAGCGATGGGTTACTATGGCGACATGGTTCTGCTTTCTGCTAGTAGCTGCCTACTATGACGCTGTGACAGGGAGCTGCTGCCTGCCCCCACTGCCTGTCACCCCACCCCACACCGCCTTGCTCAGCCCACCCCGACAGCCTCTCTTCTTCCAGGGCTTCTTCGAGCTCCTACCGACGGTCAGCAGCAGCCTGGTGGTCGACTGAACATGGCGGAGAGGGAATAGCAGTGGGTTTAGTCCTGGGGCCATTAAAGCATTTCTGTCTCTCCAGCAAGTGGTCCATGACTGGGGCTGGGGCTGACGTACGTGGCTCCGCCTGGGGACTCCCATGGCTCCCACCTGTGCTCTCCCCTGGAACTGTGAGCAAGACCTGTTCACTCATCTACAGTGCCTTGTTGAGAGGTGCTGGGGGTCCCAGCTAAGGGGCAGAACAGGGCTCGGCTCCTGCCTGGGGAGAGCTGGCGGGAGGCTGCCGGCTGTAGCAGCGCTGGAGCCGCCCCTTTCCTTAGGGATGAGCCTGCCGTGTGCTCTGGGATCTGCCGGCACCACCCCTGGAGCTGCTCGCCGGGGCCGGGGGCTGCCCTCTCCCCGCGGCCGGTCCCCGGGCGGTGCCGCCGGGCGGGGCACGAGGGTGCGGCTCGACGCTCGCCGCTCATTGGGCGGCTCTCAG